TTAGAAGTGGTACTGTTAGCAAATGCTATTGCTTTTATTATCAAATATTTCACATTACTGTCCTAATTTTATTCTTTTTTCTTTTATATATGTTCATTTAACTGAATTTACTTCTTTTATATGCATTTAATTCCAGTTTTATTGTTTTTTCTTTATTTCAACGCACTTCACATCATTCAACTTTGATTGCTATTTGAATCTCAGACTATTTAGTTTGTAGGTTTAAAATCAATTATTGTTTGGTGTAATATTTGTACATATAATTTTAGTTTATTTTATTTCAATTTATTTGTGGTATTAGCTTAATTTAATTTCATCTTAAATTAACAAATTTTTAAATAATTATCATTTTTGATGAAAGAAATTGAACAAAAATAATTTATTAATATAGGATATCATTACCGCTTATATGAGTTATATTTAATAATTGCTATTTTTGTTGGTCAGCATGGATTATTTAATTATTGTTACTTTAAGTTTACTTATGTGAATTATCTATTATTGCCTATGGGCTAACCTGAATTATTCAATTATTATTTTATTTTATTCTGCTGCGTTAATTACTTAACAGAACAGAGTGAAGGAAAAAATTAAAAAATTAAGGAGGATAAAATATCAAAAATTAATGAATGCTACGTTAAGTATTAATCATTTTATTTATTGAAATTTTATTCATCGTCAATTTATTCATGACGCACTTATAGCATTTGTATCATTGCTCATTCAAAATTTTTATAATATTTTATTCATTTGGCACATTATTAGCAATAATTTTCTAATTGATTATGTTAAACTTAAGTTCGAAACTAATTTTATCAAATCTTTATTTTTCACTTCTACTTCCTAAGTAGAATTACCATCCTTTATCATCCCTCTTAATAACATGAAATTTAGCAAATTTTTTGTGTTAATCACATCTTATCACTGTACAATTATTCAAATTTTTTCAATCATTAAATGGCTTTTCTCGATTTTTTTATTTTTTCCAAAAAATGAACTTTTTTTTTCAAAAAATCAACTCAGGTTTTAGTTAAATACTTTTCCTTTCCAGTTGTGTATTTAGTAGTTCAATAATAGGAATTTCCGCTCTGTTATTTTCACTCTATGAAAATAAAGAAAAGAAATTGAAATTCAATGACATTTGAGTGAATTTTACCAATCTTAAAAAAACTATGAAATAATAATAAAAAATAATAAATAGGTGGAGAGAGGAAGAGAAAAGATAAGATAAAGCAGAAAGAACTAGAGTGGATAGAAGAGAAAAATATTGATAAAATAATGATGAAATTTTTTGAGTTTTAAAAAAAAAAAATTTAAGCTAAACAAAAATTACTCAGTAATAGTTCTTCACAAAAACAAATCCTTATCTTTTTTATCATTTATTAAATAACATTAATTATACAATAAAGATTGATGTATTCGAAAATTATAGCTATAATGCTAATAAATAACTGAAAAACAAAAATCAAATTTTGGATTGAAATTTTGTTTTTTGTTTAGAAAAAAAAAAAAACTTCAAATCTTCTTTACTTGAAATTACATTTTGCCATTCTTAAGTTTCTACAGAATGTGTCTTACTTTAAAAACTGAAATTTATCAATTCTTGTATTTGATGTATTTGAGTAATCATGAATTCCCGTTAAGAAATGGTTTATCAAACAGATTTCCTTTTTCTAGTAATCATTACAAAATAAAAGTATTTATCAATGGTTTTTGATCTTTTATCATTTCTCACACTGAAATGATTAATCAGTTTTTCTAAAAGTTTTTTCAGTGATGTGAGAGGGTTGAGTTTTCATCGTTTGATATGCTTTAGCCTTGTATTGCTTGTTTATTATTTACTAGTACTTTTTATTAATGCCATTATGCTTGAAAAGAGAAAAAAAAAATGATTTGTTACAGCATCATACTAAAAGATGTGATAAAACTAACTAATATAATAATTTAATAAAATTTGAGATTAAATAAGTTTAAAGGCTTAATAAATAATTCGAAATGGGATAATTTGGTAAATATTCAATGAAGTTCCAAATTAAATCAGATTTAAGTTTTAAAAATAACTTCAAAGAGAATAATTTAATAAATATATTGACAATGATGTTTGAAATTAAATTTAAGTGTGAAAAATGATTCACGTTGAAATGGTCTTAATTTTCAAAAAATTTTGAGATAAGTGTAAAAAGAAAAAAATAAAAAAAAAATCTAAAAAAAAAAAAAAAACAGAATAAAATTTGAAACGAAAGAAATTAAAAAGTGTTAGAAAAAATTTTTTTACTTCATTACTTTTTTTCTTTTGTTTTTACTAAATTATTTATTTGAAAATATTTTTGCTTCCATTATTTATATATATGAATTTTACCACCAAATTACTTAGCTGAGCAAACTTGTCAATGAAATAAGAGAATTAGTTGAAAGCTTGTTTGAGCACAACTGTACACTTTTATTATAACAATTTTTTTTTCATCATTTAATTCTTTCAGGATAAACAATCATTGATAACAAAATATTCTAGTGATAATGATAATCAGATTTGATAGAGAAATTTTACATCTAAAAAATAGAAAAGAAAATGGAATGAATTAAAATTTGGATGATAGGAGGAATCATTTTAATAATATTTATTAAAAAGCAAAAAAAAAAAAAAATTCTGGTTCCTAGAACAAAATTAAATTCTTTAAGCTTGTTTTTCACCTTGTTTTGAATATCATAAGTAATTTTTTAAAAATGAAGATAAATGCAAATGGTTATTTTACTAATGATGAAAAAGAATTGGGTGATAAAAAAGTTTTATTTAAAGTCAACTTTTATTATGCCATTTTTCTTTGGAATAATGTAAATACTTTAATTCATATTTTATTGTTTAATTATTCATTTTTTTATGTCTGTTAATTTTTTATCGCAAATTTGAGTGTGTATATTATTAATTTCAAATTATTGCCGTTACTAAGTTTAGAACTCTCATTTTTCCTTTTTTTTAGAAAATATTAGCCTACTACGATTTATTATTTAAAAGTAATTATGATTTTCTATATTTGGATTAAAAAACTATATATGATATATTCAACAGTTATTTTAATGATGCATTTGTCATCATCATCACTTAACCGGTTCCGGTTTGTTTTGCTCATTGAAAAAGCTTGAAAGATAACTTGCAATGTTTTATAGTAATTCTTCAAATACTCATTGTTAATTTATTATGAAACTAATATGTGCTAATCTAGTTTCTGTTAATTTAAATTATTGTTAATTCCAATATTAAATAATACTAATATAATTTATACAAAAAACTTTTCCAAATAGAGCGAATTTTCACTTTTTTTTTTTGTTTTTCATACAATTTCAAAAATAATATTATAATATATGGATTCGTGCTACTTCTCCTATCATAATCATATCGTCAATGATAAAAGTTCAATTCAGCAGATATAAAGAGAATTAAATGAGAAATAAATAAAAAGTTTTATTAATGAAAAAAAAGCATTCTTTGTTTACATTTTATAAATGTTAAGTCTGAATTGATAAGCTTTCAATCTTTTTTTTTTTAATAATTCATTCTATTTGAAAAAAAAATTTTTTTGCATATATAATAAAAAATTTCTTCTATTTTTATAGAATCAAAGAAAAAAGTGGAAAAGTAATTTACTAAAATATATTTAAAAATAGATGTGAAACAAAGTGGAAATTTTTTTTTTTTTAGCATCAACAATTGTCCTCACTCCATTTAATTTGTTATAGCAACAAAATGTCATCCGTTTTATGAAAATAAAAAAATGAATGAAAAAATTAACACAAGCTATTTATGTACACAAAGATATTTATTTATCTAAATTTTTCTCTACAATATATACTTTTTTATAATATAAGTGGTTAATCAATATGTTTGCATCATTTTCTTTCATAATTCAATTTTTTCCTTCAAATTTTACATGTAAATTAAATTTTAGCTTCTTCTACTTTCTATTTTATTTCGTCATTTGTTTTATTTTTGTTCCTTTTTTCTTCTTTTCTTCAGGTAATTGAACAAAAATTTTTAAGACAAAAAATAAAACATTGAAATTTCAACTTAAAATTAAATATACAAAATTATCATACTTCTTTTTTATTGTTTTCTGATTAATTTCCTTTATGGATGTGGAAAATTTTAATTTCTTGTATTTTTCTGATTTTTCAGTTGTATATTTATAAGTTAGAATTAATTTGAATTAATTATTTAAAAAAAAAGCTTAAAGTCTATTATTTAAAACAAGAAGTAGGACTACCTTAGCTCAATTCAAATTTGAAATTTCAGCATCATAAGATATGAAGCGTTGGATGATATATGGAAATAAAAAAAAAATTTCCATATATTAAATTAACAATAAATGATTAATATCTTTTTTTGTAGAAAATATTAATGATTTATTAAATAAGAATTTACTTCTTATCTTTCATTATAACATTTATCAATATTTTATTAACGTAATGTTCATAGTAATTGAATTTATTTTTATTATCGAAATTCAATTAGCACAGCATTGATTATTTTATGACCTTACCTATTAATGACTAATGATTTTACCTATCTATTAATTACCTTATCTTCGCGTTATTATGTAATTTTGTCATATTTCTTCCCTACTTTTCTTTTCTTTTTTTAAAAAATATATTTTCAGCTCTTTCGCAAAATTATTCGTCTATAAAAGTCATTATTGGTATATAACAACGTGTAATGCTCAAACGTGTAATACTATCGTAAATATTCACGCATTCCCTACGCTACTTATTTATACTATTAATCATTTGTACGAATATTCTATCGTTCGCAAGTCTTATTGCTTCTGTATTATAACAAAAAATAAAACAAATTTGCAGCTATAATAATAAGATTACTAATAATTACAATAATATTTTATTAGCAAATAAAATAGCAACAACAATAATACATAATATTTCGTTTTTTCTCATCAACAAATAAATTATAAATAATAATAACATTAAAATAAATGTAAACAAAAAGAATAATGTCAACAATAAATTTGTCTCATCCAAAGAAGAATCACCATCATTCTCATCATCATCATCATCATCGTCAACAACAACAGCAACATCACCATTACCGTCATCGCCATCGTCACCACAATTTATCACGATTACAACAACAACTATCCAACAGTGTCTTCATGACAACATCTTCAAGATCTACCACTCAACCTCAATCTCATTCGCGATCTTCATCACAAATTTATCCAACAACAGATCCATCTGATGATGATAATGAGAACAACAATGATTATCAACCAAATAATAATGATAATCTTTCATATCAACAATGGTTAGTAAATATTTTATCTCGATTTTTTTTTTTGTTTTTTGTTTGGTTGATTATTAATTTTACCACATCTTTTAACCATCTGTTGCAATATTCTGTACAAAAACTTTTTACCAAAATTAATGAAAACATTGATGCAACCTTTTTTTATTTATTCAATTTAACAAAAATTGTAATTTTTTTTGTTTTCTTTTCTTTTCTTATCAGTGCTTAATTTTTTTTTTCTTTCATGCAATAAATACCATGAAGTTTGTTGTTTGATTATATGATTGATGAAAATACTTAAAAGATGAGAAGAAAAATTTGATACAAAAAATTTATTTATCCTATTGAAATTTTGGATGATATCACAGGTGACAATACCATCGATATTGACATATTAAAAATATTTTCAAGACTTTTTACTGTAGATACTTTTTTTTTTGAGAGAGAGAGAGATGGCAAATGATATAAGAATATAATTACTGTTTTGATAAATGATATGAAATTACACTTATTGAGTTAGTAAATGATATGAGAATATACCTATTGCCTTGTAAATGATATAGTATATTTTCCAAAACAAATTAGTATAATTATTTTACCTGCCCTTTTCAGTTATATTAATAATTATAGAAATATTTGTTATGTCATTCAAAAAATTTGATAACGAATTTTTTTACTTCAGCCTATTTATTATTGTGACTGATATTTGTGCCAAAATTTTAATTTATTTAATAAAAATTTTTATTTCTTTCCTTAATATCAAATCTAACTTTCAAGAAGATCACGCTAAAAAAAAATTATAAAAGTGACTAAAAAATTTCACTTTCTAATAAAAATTACATTTGCTTTGTTTAGCTCTTTTTTTCGTTTCATTTTATTTAAGCATACTTTTGATAAATTGTGCGTATTGTTTGAATGTTACTCTTTTAATAAACATTTCGAAATTCATTTCATTATTACATTTCAAATTACTATAAAAACAGGGTTTAATTTGTATAAAATTTACATTTAAATTAAGTATAATATATTATTTTTGGCAAAATTGCCGGCAAACAAATTATAAATAATATATTACTGCTAGTTTTATCTTTTTTATTGTAGTTATTTGTTGTATTTATCTATTTATTATAATTAGATGTAATATTATTTAATGTTGCTGTCTAAATGAAATGATATTAAGTATTAATTTTTGCCCTTAATTGTACCAAATAATTTTACCTACAAAAAAAAAAAAAAAAAAAGAAATCTATCTGTTTAAAAATGAAAAGGATCAAATTGTTGTGAAAAATTTTTCCATTTCTTTAACTTATAAAATTTCTAAATCTATCTAATTAATTGCAAAAAATTGTAGTGAAAATATCATTCATTTTTCTCTCTTCTTTGTTTCCCCCCAGAATTTCTTTTTTTTTCTATCAGAGTTATTTTTTTTTCATTACTACTTTTACTACCAATGATATCGATTTATTCTCTTTGATAGATAGAATTTAAGGATTAAGTCTCATTTCATGTTTCAATCCATTATAATAGCTTATCATTTGAATGCATCACATTTGTCATAGAAGGCTGTTTCTTTTTTTTTTTTTCTTTGAGAATGAAGTGAAATTTATTTTAGTTTAACATTTTTTTTCCTTCCATCCTTACAATCATGCATTTTATAACATAGCATAATATTTTTTATTCATTCAGTTAAACCAAAAAAAGAATGGAATTAATTGAAATTTTGCTTTTTTGTTCTTTTGTTTATTTTAAATCCTACCAACAACTTAATTTTTATACAAAATAATTAATAATTATTAATTACTTTAATTTGCAGCGAATACATGGAATCATCGGAATCAGGAAATGATGGTTATGCTAGTAGTTATATGAAATATATTCAACCATCAAAATTGTCATTTAAATATAACAGACCACTAAATGAATTATGTTATCAGTCATACTATGATAATCATACAATTCCATATCATTATCAGTCAGAACGTAAAATTGATGAAAATAATCATATTGTGATAAGAAAAATTCGTAATTTCTCGGAAAATACAACAGCGCATGGTGTACGACGAATATTTATTGCTAGAAATGCATATACTGCGCGACTATGGTTATTTGGAATTATTCTTTGCTTTATTATACTTATTGTACAAGCATATCAATTAGTAATGAAATTTAATCGTTATGAAAAAATTACCAGTATCGAAGTAAGTAAATTACATATTATATGATATTATAGCATTTATCTTACCTTTATTTAATTTTAATTTAATTTCATTTTTCTTTAAATTTCTTATTTGTTGGTTTTTTTTTTTTTTTTTTTTAATAATAAAAAATAAAGATTTTTTGCTTTAGCTTAAATTTGATTATATACAATTTCCTGCTGTAACATTTTGCAATTTGAATCCATATAAGAAAAGTTTAATTCGATCAGTACAATCTGTTAAAGATACGGTATGCTTTTTATTAGTTGTGTAAATTAATGAAAACATATAAAGCTGTAAATTAATTAACTTTATGCGTTTATTCATAATTAAACTATTAAAAAAAATTTTATTGAAGTATCCATATTTTAGTTTTTTTACAAAATATTTTATGAAAGAAAAAAAAAAGAAAACAGAATAGAAAATCAAAATATAGAAATATAAATTCTTTGTCGGACAAAAACTTATTGATTGTATGCAATTTTTTATATTTCAAACATTTCTACATTAAGCTTAAGACACTGAGCTTGATTTTTTTTCTTTTCAATTTTTTCAAACAAAACTTATCTCAATTAATTTATCGCAAAAATTTTTATTTTTTAATAAAAGTATAATGAATAAACGACCTTTTTCCCGGTGAAAAAAATCGATAATATTTCATTTCTGTTATATCTAAATTTCTATTTTTAATTTTTTTCAAACATAAAATTATCTTTTTGCGATAACAACTTTATTACATCCAAACATATCATTTGTACATTTATTGAATGTTTCGATTACAATAATTGTTGCTTATTTAAAATGAAAATAAAAGTTTTCAATGTTAAATTGCATGCAACTTTTGTTTTAAATTTCAATTGTAATATCAACAATGTTTTTTTTTTTAAATAAGTTATTTTTTGAAGAAAATTTTAGAAACAAATTCAATATTTCAATCAATTAATTACTCAAAAAAAGAAAGCAACATTCTTTGCACATAGGAAAATAGAACTTAATTGATCTAAGAAGTTAATCTTTGATCTGAAGAAAAATGCATTTTTTCTTATTAGCTGTGCAAAATATTAAATCAATTGCAGATGGATGTTTATGAAAATGCGAAATCATTTCGTAAAGTTCGCACAAAACAACAATTACCAATTGGTATTATTCGTAAACAATCTAATTATCAAAAAGAGCATTTATCGCAGTTATTTGACAGCAGAATGATCAATGATTTAAACATTAATTATTTGGAAAATGTAAAACGACAACGACAAGAGAGAAATGTTAAAAATAATTTATTTAAAAATAATGATATTATTATAACTAATAAAATTCATGAAATTAATGATGAAATATTATCATCAACTAATACCCGTTTCATTAGCAATACTACAAATAGTAAAAATAATACTATAACAACAACTAATAATATAAGAACAGCAACAAAAACTGCTGCTCTAACAAGCAGTAGTGATTTTGCTAATGTACTGGCATATATGAATGATACGTTAATTAATGATATTAAAACAATTATAAATGTAAATGATGCAACTGCAACAGTACTAAGGAGTAAACGGATGGTAAGCTATTTAAATATCATTATTTCTTTATCCTTCTTTTTAAATTTATAATTTAAAAGTTATTATCTTAAAGACTTCAACATTTATTAATTGTTTTACTGTTAATTTACATTTGGTAATTAATATGATTCCGTAATTTTCTATAAATACGTTTGTTATATTTGATTAGAACGTAAAAATTTAATTTATTCTTTTAGCTTCAAATAAATTCATTATAACTTAAAATTTTAATTGATGGTTTTTTTCAATTTACAGTTTAATAAGCTTAAAAAAATTTTTTAAAAAAATTTAACATTATTGTTCAAGAAAACTTTATGGTTTTTGTTTTAATATCATTGTATGATCAAAAATGTTATAATAAGATGGGATTAAATATTATTTTTAATTTATGTAGAAATATTTTCATTTTTTATCATTTTATAGTTTAATTAATAATTTTTTAATTGTTAGTTAAGCTATAATATTTTCAAATAGACAATGAATTTAATCATTTATGTTAAATATTGAGGCAGAGACAATGCGATATGAAGCAATTGAAGCACATTGTAAATGTATCGGTAAATCAGATATGGAATGTATTCGATTTGAATCAATGCCACCATCTGATGACAGTAAATGCATCTGTACGTATGACAATGAAATGAACATTGCTTGGCCGTGTTTCAATATATCGTTTGTTCTTTGTTTTTGCATTAAATATTATTGATTAATCGATCAATTACAATTAAAATTTGTTAAATTATTTATAATTAGCATTTCTGCATATCTGAATTAAAAAAGTGAAGAAAATATGGTTAATAAAATAAGGTATTTTTTAAGTTTAATTCAGTTATCAACTAATTTATTTAAACAATATTTTGTTTAATTTAATTCATTATTTTTTTAATGTATTTTTTACTAATTTAAAAAATATCAAATTATAGTATTGTTTTAGAATATGGTATCAAGAAGATTGTATTATATGTTTTGAGGATGGTTTTTGTGAGCCAAAACAAAATTATCTATTTCAAAGTTCTAATTGGCCTTGTTTATGTCGGAATCGTACCATTGATTCTGTAAGCTTTAAATTTTAAATATTACCTGTTGTTTTCTTCGTTTTTTTTACAACTGTACAATTTTTTGAATTTAAATAAAATATTCCAACTATAAATATCATTTTAATTTAATTAAGTTAAAATCTAACATAATTTCATGCTTTCTTAATATTTTACTGATGATAATATTATAAATATGCTATTTATAACTAAGTGATAACTACTATAGGCTAAAAAAATATAATTTATAGCACCAAATTCTGAAATTAATGCGAAGGTAGTAAAAAATTCTAAAAATAAATTTTGAAAATAGAATTATTATGAATTTTCTCTTTCATATTGGTAAATAATTATTCATGCATACATATAGTAGGATCAGTTATATTTCAAATTAAATGTTGTTTATCCATAGTTATTACCTAATTTCTGGAAAAATTTGACAAGAAAAAGAAAAAAAAGAAAGGATTTCATACAATGAATTATTTGTATTTTAAGGCATTTTTTTTTTTTTTGCTACTGCCAATTTTTTTTTTTTTTTTTCTATTAAAACTTTCCTTTGAAACTGCCAACATTTAACACTTATCACAATTTTCTTACAACTTTCTCGTTCTCTCTCCATTTCTTCCTTTCATTACCGGTTATCATTTTAAAATTTTTGATGAACAATTCTTTTCAAATCATAAAAATCTATTTCTTATGTTTTGTAACTGTTATTCTCAAAGGTATACATTATCAGTATACTGTTTGAAATGAATGCAAGGAGTCAATCAGTGACAATGCTGATAAAAGTAAGACTTCAATTTGTCGGAACAAAGAAATTGAAAGTTATTTGTGGAATAGATGAAAAAGATTTATCACTAATTAAAATGTCTTAAATATTTTGGTAATTTAATTACTGAATTTTGTTATTGATATTTGGATAATTACTTAAATTACTTACTACACACATATCATTTCAAATAACTGGAGAATTTAATTACTGTCATTATGTTGTTATATTATATATTCAGGGAATATATAATATGCTGGACATTTCCTAAGATTTTAATTAATTCTTGTGTAGCAGTTGTTTTGTAAAATTATAGAAGAGTTATAATATTTTGTAGTATAAAAACAGAAAAAATAAGCTAGCTAAAAAAGAGCAGAAATTTTTGTTTTAACTTCTCAAAAAATTGAAAAGAAAAGTACATGAAAATGTCATTTGTGTAATTACTAAGCTTAATAATATTTCGAATTTTCGGATTATTAAAATAATAACTCAATCAAGTAACTCTCAGATAGCTAAAAGTAGAATAATTGATTTTATGTGAGAAAATGCATCAAAATCGGAAATAAAAGTGTAATTTTATTTTTGCACCAAATTTTCTAATCAAAAACTTTCGTATTCCATTCATTCATTTAAAAGCTTTCCACGAATCTACATTCATCCATTTAAGTGTGCGTTTGGAAAGCTTTTAAAGTTAATCATTTAATCTTTTCTTGGATTAAAATCATTTCTGCTTGAAATGAGAGAGAATGGAAGAAATTAGAAGTAAACATTCATAAAATATCTTTCGCAAAATCAAAAAACTATTATTTCATTATAATATTAAATTAAAAAATAGAATTGAAAATTCCAAGTTTTATTTTAGATAATAAAGACGATAGCATGAATTATCACATTAATTTTAAGAAAAAGTTATATTTGTTAAATACTGCGTACAGTTTCCTATTAATATTTCTGCTATGATTAATAACGAAGAAGGGAGTTGAAAATTTTTAAATTCAAGAATGAAATTTATACTACTTCATTTCAATACTTGCAAATATTAAGCATAACAAAAATTTAATCATTCATATACAACTTTTCTCTTTAACTGAGAAATTAGCCAAACTATCGCTTCTTATTAAACAAAACAAAGTAAATTTTAAACAAGTTAATTTACAGTACAAGAGGATATATTAGTTAATTAAATTTCTAATAAAATTAATGATTAAAGATTAAAAATTGAAAAAGTGAAACGATTTCATCTTTTATGGAAATTAGTGTGTTTATAAGGAAAAATTTTTTTTTGATTTGTGTTTTCTTTTGAAGTGAATTTATTGTTTATCTAATGAAATATGCTAATAACACGGTAAAATGAATGTTATGTAAATTTGTTAGTTACATATTAGCCCAACTTGATTCTGCTCAAGAAACCGCACTGTCTTCGGATGTTGAATGAAGTGAAACAATTGTGGGCGACGAAATTGTATCTGTCAACAACAACAATAGCAACAACCAAAGAGACAACAACAGCGACAACGACGACAGCGCCAAAACAATCAGCACGTGTTACTGAACCAGAAACTGTCAAAGCAATGGGTTTTACGGTATATAATTGTTTCAGTTTATCATTGATATGAATCATTAAAGATCATCCGACTGTCTTCTAAGTTAAAGATTATTATCCGGATTGCCTACTAAATAAAAGATTGACTTAATTACCTCTTAACCTAAGATTATCTGAACTGTAACAATTTCTCAAATAATTTGGCTCAAGAAACCGCACTGTCTTCGAACGTTGAATGAGGTGAAACATTAGATAAATAAATTTGTTGCAATTAAAATTGAAATTTGTCATATTGCCACTTAATTTATTTGCGTATTTATTCGTTGAAAATTTAAATATAATCTTTTTGATGAGAAATATGAATGACATAATTAGATGTGCAATTAATTAAAGGGTATGACAGATGGTGTAGCTATGTTGACACGTGCTAAGGAAAATTTAATTTTTACGATGAGTGCATTATCAGAAGTACAACGAATTGCACTGTCACAATCGAAACGTGAATTCATTGAAATGTGTTCATTTGATGGAAAAGAATGCAATATTGGTATTATTTCTCTAATAAATTGTATTTCTCATAAATTTTTTAAATTTATTTTTTAATAAAGTAAAAATTTTCTGACAATGTTCATAATAACAAATGCTAATATTTTTTTTTTTTCTTTTCCTCTCTTTTTAAATAAAAATATGAAATACAAATAACAACACTGATGATAATATGCTTCGAAATTAGTACAAATAAGCATATTTATTTCTTTATTTCTTGTGAAAGTAATTCGGGGAAACCGGATAAACATGAACATAAAAATTTTGAAAGCCGGATTAACAAGAATAATATTACAGATACTGATTTTAAACTGCATGTTGATCCGGCATTCGGGAATTGCTATACATTCAATTGGGATGTAAATAATAATCATTCAAGCAGTAAAGCTGGTCCAATGTATGGTTAGTAATACAATTTAATTAATTATAAAATTATCTAAAAATGAAGACGGATCACCTGACTAAAACGAAATTAACACAGATTAATTTAAAAAATTAGAAAAGAATAGACTAATTAAGAAAGAATTACATATCTTGATATAATCAATATTAAGACAAACATACATTGCCATATAAAATTATTGCTAATTTAATTTATATAAAATTAATTTCAATAAAAATAAAACTAATTGCAAAAATGCAATTAGTGTGAACAATTTTGGACAATAAATCATTTTACTTTATTTTTAGGAATCCGATTATTATTATTTGTGAATACATCAGATTATATGGCAACATCGGAAGCTTCAGGAGTACGATTAGCAATACATAGTCCAACGGATTTTCCGTTTCCCGATACTTTTGGTTATAGTGCACCTGTTGGTTTTGCTTCATCATTTGGTTTGAAAAAGGTAAATTTTCGGTTTTTTAATACTTTTTTTCTTTTTCTATTTATTCTTTTTTCATTTGATTGATCAAATTTTGAAGCTTTTACTTTTTTTTTTTTTTTTTCGTTTTTACAGTAAAATATTAATTTTTCTAGCACGTTGTCCAAAGATTATCTGCACCATATGGTGATTGTCAACGAGAAAAAAAAATGAATTCAAATGTTTACATTTATGGCGGTTATGATTACAATCCGGAAGTAATTTAGTTATATCTTAACATTATCCATTTTACTGTAAATATTCAATCTTTTATTAAGCAGCAAAATATTTTAAAAAAGTTTAAAACCAATCAATAAAATATTTTTTTATACTATTGTTATCATCGTTTATTTTTTATCATTTTTTTTTTTGTCTTTTTTTTTTATAAATTATCTTTTATTAATTGTCGTAATATAAATGACAGGGATGTCATCGAAGTTGCTTTCAAAACACACTGCTTAATAAATGTGGTTGTGGTGATCCACGTTTTCCAGTTCCGAAAGGAAAAATACATTGCTCCGCTTTTAATGCTACAACAAGTAAGTCAATTCGTGTAATAATTAAATTACCTTTCTTTTAAAGAAAAAGAAAATTAGTGACAAAATGATATCTATAATTAATTTTTTTTTTTTTTTTAATTTTCCATTTTAATAGATGCATTAGATTAAATGTATTTTAAATTAAATTTTAATCTCATTTTACAGGAGGTTGTTTGGAACGCACAATTGCGGAAATCGGTGATTTTCATCACATTAGGGATAGTTTGACGGATTGTCAATGTAAGCAATCATGCGAACATGAAATATACAGCGTCACTTTTTCCGCTTCTAAATGGCCATCCGGTGCTAGCGATGTTTGTAAATTTCATTTTTAACTAAAACTTTACAAAATTATTGGTGAGAAAAAAAACTTTTTGAAAATATTTTAAAAAATTATTAAAACAACAAAACAATATACAAAATAAAACATAAACAAAGTAATAAAAATATAACAAGTAAAAAGCAAATAAACAAATAAAAATTCTGTAAAAAATCCAAAATTGCAAAAAGAAAAATAACACTTATGGAAATTATGAGAAAAAAGTCATCGCCGTTAAAAAAAATTTAATTTATTTTTACAACATAAGAAATAAGCAAAAGGAAATAACAAAAAAAGAGAACTTAGAAAAATAATGAAAAAGCAAAACGAAACAGAAATTTTTGCCCAGAAGTCCTAACTTAAAATCACTTGCGCTTAAAACAAATGGGTTTATTGCATTAAAAAAAAAAAAAAAAAATAAATAAAAATAAAAAAAGTTAAATAGCATGCAAAAACCTTATAAATACAATTTAATTATAATCAAATTATTATAGTACATGCACATTTTTATTATTAACGAATTTGTTTCCGCTTATGAATAATAACTAATTACCTGTTTTATTCAGTGCAAATCTTTTTCGCATATTTCAGTATTAAATTCAATTCTGCAGAAATTAAATTTATTTTAGTAATTATCCTTGATAATTACTAACACATTAATAATGCAGATTGTCTAATTATTTGCTTGAATTACAAGAAAATTAACTTAAATTTGTTTCCGTGCATTTTGCGAATGATTGCACTAAATAGTCGGGAAACTAGCTATGTTGTAAGAAGTTCTGAAATGTAATTTAAGCCCAAACATTTATTCCATTAAATTCATCAAAAAAGCAATTCTGTAATTTATTATATTTAACAAACAAACAATAAAATGAATAAATAAAATGATTTTTTCTATTCAATACATTTTTTGCTAGACCAATTAGGCCAGTTTCATATTGACCATGTTATATTTTTCTTTATAATTTATAAGTTAAATTTAAACTTAAAAAATTTTTACCACTATCGCTAATGTTGAGGGGAAAGAAGACAAATTCATAATTATATTTCGTGTATTGAAAATTCTGAGTTAACAAAGCTGAAGAAAAGGAACAACAAAAAAAAAAAGTTTTTTTTTTTGTTTTATTTTAACTCTTTTTTTATTTTGGTATTATTTAATTTATCATTGATTAATTTATTGTTTGGAAAAATAGTTTAAAAAAATGTTCAATCATTTTAAGTTTCAGCTGCGACAATCGGTGATTTTTTTTTTATTTAGCTTTATGCATTTATTTTTTTACCTTTATTTTTTAAAGCTTGCAATCTTTATGCATGTTTGTAATATGTTTTGCAGTAATTAAATTATATTGGTGATTAATAATTTATTAGATGCATTATGATTGGTTACAATTAAAAAAACTAATTAATATCTGTCATTATCATATTCATTTGATCTTTAAGTTATTGTCTTTTTTCATTTCTATTTTTTTTATTTGAAAGTAAATGAAAAAGTAACAAAAAGTTTCATAAATTATTAATAAATCTGAAAATTTAACTTTTTATTTCATCTTATTTTTTGTTGAATTCTTTCACATGTTGCATGACTTGTCAATTTCATTACTATATTTTATTAATTATTTCCATATTTGATTATTTTCATTTTCAATTGATATTCTTTTCCAATATAATTTTAAGCTTGGAAATTGTGATCCAAAGATGAATGATGAAGAATGCAGAAGATTTTATAGAGAAAATGCAGCAATGGTTGAAGTTTACTACGAGCAGCTTAATTACGAATTGTTAAAAGAATCTGAAGCATATGGTGTTAGTTTAATGAATAATTAACTTTTTGTAGCATAGTGCTAATTAAGTAAGTCATTTTAATTAGTGTATTGTGTTGCTGTTTATTTTCTAATACCATTCAATAATTTATTTCAAATTATTTAAAACTACTGCTAATTTAAGAAATACATGAAAAGATTTAAAAGGAAAATTTCTTAACAAACTTATAATCATTGAAATTAATTATATTTAATGCAAACTTTTAAACTTAGTATATTAAGCAAGACAGATAGTAATAACTGAATTATAATTTTTAGCTTGTCAACTTATTAGCTGATGTTGGCGGACATCTTGGTTTATGGATGGGTATGTTTAATTCATTTATTTTAAATCAAATTTTAATTGCTTGTATATTAATATAATTGGCAAATTTAACATTAATTCTGAGAGCTAAAAATTTAATTCCACAAAGAAAAAAAGAAATTTTTAGGTAAAAAAAAAACCAATAAATCATATGAAATTATATCAGTTAAAAATACTAAACTCTTCTATTGTGCAATAAGAATGTTAAATTTCAAAAATTAATTTGAGCAAAAATAATATGAATTAATGATAAATAATGGTGATAGGACACTTTTTCCCATTATATTAGCGATTGCATTTGTTGAAATAATTAGTACACTCTTTTGCTAGGCTGATAATTGATAACTCATAATTATCGGACTAACATATCTATGCTAAACTAGGAGTAGAATACATAATTAATTAATGGACACTTCACAGATAGTTTTTACTTCTTGACTAGGCCAATAGCAGACATATGTTAAAATCATTTTTTTTTTTTTACCAGGCTGAAAGTAAACATAGTAATTACTAAACTTTTTAAGGGAATTTTTATGAAATTTTTTTTTTTATTAATCATCAAATTAACTATATAGTCAAATATAATTTGCCGAAAAAAAAAGAAAAATTTTGAATATAATTGCCCAAATTTGCTTAAAATTAAATAAACTATTAATAGTAAAAAGGATGAATTGAAGTATGATATAATTCCAGGTTTTAGCGTAATCACAATAATTGAATGTGCGGTATTATTCATTGATCTCATAACATTATGCTGTAATAAGCTAAAAACAAAACAAGACTTTAAAAAAACAATAACAATAGGAAAACGGCAGAAGAAAGATGAAGGAATAAAGGATGAAACGAAATATCGAGAAGCTATCGATGAAGAAATTCCAGAAGGAAATAAGAAAAATGATAATTGTGAGAAAGCAGTTCATGTTTAATAATTACAATTTAATAATTTCTAGCCATTAAATAGTGATGATGATAAGAATTCAGATATATTAATTATTATAATCTATGAAATGGATGTTGTTAATTAGAATTCATTATGAAAATTTGTTGAAATGTCGAAATTCAAGCTCAGCAAAAGTAAATGTTTTTGAAGGATCTAAAATTTACTCAATATAATAAAACCTAAAAATTAGTTAAGCAATTATTGTTATCATTTATAAGATTAGGCGTATTTCTGAAATTATTAAGCCTAAAATGCTTTTGCGATCCTATAATTAGCTATAAAATTTACCAACAATTAAATTTCAAATATAAAAAAATTAGAAATAAGTTAAGAAAGTGATACATGTGAGAAGCAAAAAAAAGCTTTTTTAAATATTAAAAGTTAGAGTCTGAAGAAAGTGTAAATGTTATGTTACTAAAAATGATGTAGTTGAGAAGTAGAAAGAATACTTTCTAATTAAAAATTACAAGTAAGAAGATGGTAAATAAGCATTTTAAAACTTACAACGACATATTATGTATTCGAATTAATTGCATTTGTAAATATGCAAGAGTTTTCAAATAAAATAAGCATTATTAATGCATGCATATGCATTTCCGTAAAAAAATTTGCATAAAATACTTTTAAAAACACTAAAAGTAAACTAAGTAATGCTTATTTTTAATTAAAGTAATAATTTGCACAATTATACATTTAAATGTTATTTAATCCGCAAAACTATCATTAATCAAACTTATTTCTCTCTCTCTCTCTCTTTCTCTGTTAATTGTTACATTTTCGTTTAGAATGATCTCAATCAATGCATCATTTTGTTGTCATTTGTCAACTGATACAACAGTTTTGTGTATAACAGTATCATTTAATATGAATAAAGACTATATTTACATTTTTGCTAAAAACAAACAAACGAAATGACTCTAATTTCTATCCATAGGAATTAAAAATAATTAATCGATGGAATAAAATGCCTAAAGTAATTATTGGCCATAATCAGTAATTAATAATAATAATAATAATAATAATAAATAATTATAATAATAGGTATATCGACATTGCAAAAATGGATTTTCGTTTAATTTCGATCTAATTATGTTAGTTGAAGATTTCTTATAATTTTTTAATTATTAAATGACTGAAAATGTCATAGTTATAATATACGATTGTACAAGAAGTTAATAGTTTTTTTTTAATTAAAATGCAATCTAATATTTTTAGACTTGTAAAATTTCTAATCTTTCCTAGTTCGAACTAAATGTTATACCAATGCAATTGAACATTTAATGTGTGAAAATCTTTGCTGTTAAAATGCCTCTTGCAAATGTTTCGATGCATGCATGCCAGATAAATGAATTTATTTAAACTAAATAATTTGAATATTCAATCATCAAGCTAAAAGTTCTCTCATACTATTTCTTCAATCAATAAATTATCCAAATGTAAAAACTAACACAAACTGATGTTTTAAATTTCAATAAATTGAGCACATATACAATGTTTTATAATCAAAGTCAAGATAGGCAGTGCTATTTAGATAGTAAATGATACAGATAATAACATATTACTTAGTAAAATTAATATTAAAATTATCATCTGACATTGTTATTAGAAAACATGGAATTCTATTACTTACAATGTATATAATTCAAATTCTAATAATGTTGCACATTACAGGAGAAAGCATAAGCTTTAAGTTGTACTTTGAAGTTAACTGCACAAGTTAATCAGATTTCAATCAAATTACAGTTTAGACTGACCTGAGATTCTCCAACTGATGAAGTCATAACGATACTTTGGAATGAGTAGTATTCTTTACTTAAGTAAATAGTAAATAGTGAAGTAATACGATGTATATAAAATGAAGCTCATACATTAGTTCGCTGAAAGTAGTTGAATACTTGTTTTGCATCGGGGGTCAAGGGTCACACTAAAAGTCATTACATACAAAACTCACCACTCGATATTGGATAAATAACACATTTAGTTGATTGAACGCAGTTGGTCGAGTAACTGTTTTACACGCAGGAGGTCAAAGGTCATATCGAGTAAAAAATTTAACTGCTGCCATCCCTTTGTTCTCCTCTCTTCCATTGATCATTTCTTCATTCCACTAACATTTAATATCTAATTGTAAACAGCAAATGAGATAGGACAAGAAGCCGCATTACCCTAATTTGAAAACAGTTTTGATTTGATTGATTTCCGTGCAAGCGAAAGATATTCTTCGGAAAAAAACAAATCTGAACATTCATCAACTTTTGCATATTGTTAAAAATTAGTTTTATTTTTAGGCTTACAGCTTGAACTTTGGACCTAACTTGAACCTAAGACGACATAAAGTTGTCAGGATTAAGTGAAACTGATAAATAAGAATTTGAAAGAATGATAATGGAAACAATGATAATAATTAGAACTTTCGTACTGTTTATTCGTACGCTAACATATCTGATCGTTAAGATGTTAAAGGAAGTCAGTCTTTGTTTAGTGAGTCGTGTGACAACATCCTTGACAATAACAACTAGGTAATCAACATTATCATCATCGTCAAATGTAAATAATCATAATAATTTCGTTTTATTATTATTATTAATTATTAATAATTAATTACTACTAATCATTAATTATTAATTATTATTATTATGATCATCATAATGATTATCGGCTTCATGGCAGTAATGCGTCTTGTCTTGCTGATTGAATGAGATAACAACAATAAACAATAAACCTTTGCCAATGTTATTATCATAGCGCTGACAAATATACCACAGAGTGATCAGCGATACTATTGTCATTTCACACCATTTGCTTGCTTCTTTCTTTATTTTCGAGTTCCATAAGTTCACAATTTTTATCGTTTTCTTCAAAAAGAAAAGATTTCATTTTAAAATAAATAAAGTCATTTTTTCTATTCTTTTCTCATTCTTTTCACTTGTCTTTCTTTTGTGATTAAAACAACTGACGATGATTCAATTTCAATGGCATTTCTGCTATGAAATATACATTTATTTATCTGATAAAGTTTATTCTAGTTAATATTACAATACAGATAATAAATATAATTGATAAAACTCTAGTACCTAAAATAAAAATGAAAAGTAAAAAACAAAAGACCTGCCAAAACCATCATAAGAAATATAAATATCGAAATTTTCGTTTCAGAAAAAAAAATGAAAACACTTTTTTATTTTAAAATAAAAGGACAGATGGGAAATTTGGCAATGTAATTTTAAATCGATTAGATTTTCACTTCTAACAGAAAATAAAATCCAAATTACCACTGATTTCTTTACAGTTATAATGATGGTATATTGATCTTAATGTTTGTGTTTGTTTCCAACAACGAAAACTAGTAAATCATAAATGTAATTAAGATGTAATTAAATAAAAATTGTAAGTAAACTTTTATTATTATTGTTCTTTTTTTTTTTCATTCTTTTCTACAACCAAAAATCAGTAATTTTTTTCTTTTTTTTTTGTTCGTTAGAGGTAGTATTTTTTAATTATTAAATCTAACTAACATATAAAGAAGAAATATTTCTTTTTTCAAATAAGATAAACTTTAATAAATTATATCATTTGATCCGTTCATTATTGTTATTTCCTTAAATTTATAATTAATAGACAACATTTTTGCTTTAACCCTCTCTAACCTTCTCTCAAATATTAATTGTCATTTGTCATCATTTTTTTTAATATATTGTAGTAAGGTTTGACAAATGATGCATTTGACATATACTTAGCCTTAAGGCGTGGCCTAAGGCCTCATTCTAGAGATGGCCATATACTACAATGGGATCGATATATTCAATGAGTTGGGCAGGAGGCAATACTACTTTCCAGCGGATCGATGTCAAATGCTGTGTTGTTGCTGTTGGCCGCCGTATCATTGCGCTTTAGCACTTAGCGTTATTGACGCAACAATCGTTGGTATTTTTGCATATCGTACCGCTGATTTATTATACACCTCAGGAAATAATATGTAAGTTTCATTATTTTAAAAATAGTCTTAAAAATTACAAAAATTAAAAAATTTTATTTCAATTTAATCAACTGTGCTAAAGCCAGAGGAGATATAATACGATGTTATCAATTTAATAGTCATCAACTTTTATCGAAAATGATTTTCTAATAACTGTAACAGTAAGATTAATTATGTATCATTGAGTGTTTTATATATATATATATATATATATATATATATATATATATATATATATATATATATATATATATATATATAATCATAATTACTAATATTTCTTTGAAGAGATTTTAAAAATGTTAGTGATAAAAAAGAAAAACAAAGACAATTCTGTAGCATTAAGTCAATAAATTATTAAATAATAATTAATTAAATGTTTATTTTAAGTGTTATTACTAAATACTATTACTGTTTTTTTTTTTTAAATATTACTAGTGTTTGTCTTAAATATTATTACGATATTTTGTTGAAGAAATTTTAAAAAAGAAAAATGTAACGTTTCTGTAATAGTAAACTAATAAGTCATTAAGTAATAAATGATTATTTATTTTTAGTATTACTATTTTACTTTACAATTATAAGATGTGAATTATGTCCGAAGGTTTATAATTATGATTAAAAGAAATAAAACAGCAACAGAAATTACTTTGTATTTATTCACATAGCAATTTAAAAATTTTTCGAATTCATTTGTTAACTTAAAAATAGTTGGTATGCTTTGTGATCAATATATGCTTGTTGAATTTACCTGAATTATTATTATCCATAGATTTGTAATTTAATGGAAATTTGATCAATGAGTTGGTGAATTAAGGCATTTGATGGTTGATATCATTGATCTCTTTCAGGAAATTTTGACATTAATCAAACATAATATGTTAATATGATCACTTGAAAGCATATTTAAATATGTTAATTTTTATTTAAATCTTGATTTATTTTTATTCGTGATATCCTTCACACAAAAATTTATCAATATAAATCGTTGCAGTCTTTAGCTAGTTAAATAAAGTTTATTATTTCAGCAAAACAAAATGCTATTTGGTTAAGTACTAAATAATAGGGTTGAAACAATTACAATATGAATTTAAAATAGAATGACAGATAGTTGAGTGGTTATAGTTGTTTATTTAGTTGAGTGGTTATAGTTGTTTATTTATTTATTGTATTTTATTTTTTGCAGTAATTGGATTGATTTTGGCATATTCCTGATCCTGTTGGGTTTCTTCATATGTGAATTATTAAGCACAATAACACTAGCTGTTTCTTATCGACGGAATAATTCTCGTTATGTTTTACCACGTTTGATACTACTTACTGGTCAATTTGCTATAACAACATTCATTTCTGTTATTTTAATTCTGTATTTTATGGGTTTCACCGAGAAACTTAATGATGTTGTAATCGCTTCATATGAGGTATGAGTTGATCTAATCCATCATTTCTAATATTTACTTAATTATTGGGAATTTAAATGATTTTATTCTGTACACATGAATACCATCTGCAAGATTAGCTGGACTGAAATTAAGCACTGATCAAGAGCAATAATGATTAATTATTCTTATTTCTTGGAATAAATCAAAATTATTCATCATATTTAAATTTTTTAATTATTTTTTCATGAGTTCAAAATTCGAAATTTTGAACCCATGAAAAAAAAATTGTAAACGATAAGCATAAATTTATCGTAAATATCAAATTTTCAAAAAAAAAAGAAACTTCTGTTCATTTCAGTATTGGGCAAATGATGAACTGAATGAAGATGATCGTAAAAGAGCTGTCAATGAGTTATTCATTTATGCGATTGGTACTTTTGTTGTTATATTTATGTATACAGTATATGAGCTATTCGAATTATACATTACTCGAAAATATCAGAATACTCTCGATACACCACCTGAATTCATTCCGGTAAGAAGTCAGGAACCACCAAGATTAGCTGGACCGAAATTAAGCATTGATCAACAGCAATGTATCTCAGCACCACCACCACCCTACAATTCGCAATATCGTTAAACGATCAATCGAAGAGTTTCATTCTTCAAATCGATCAGTAAATTCGATCAATGAATTTTTTTTTTTTTTTGGCAAACTTTTATAACTAAATATAAGTATTTTCACAGCTTTTATAGCTTTACTTGTTCCATACTAGCTTTTAATTTTCTTCCTATATTTACTAAAACGGAAGAAAAGAGAAACGAAAACTTAACGTAACTGTCTCATCATATTATATATTGTTCAAAGCTGTCTTTTTTGTAACAAAATTTAAATTAAATGAGTTAATATTTTGCTGCAAATAACAAAATTTGAATTTAAAAGTTAAATCTAAGTGACAAATTAAATTTCAACTTTTTTCCTCACTTTATTATGCTCTTATCATATGACCTAATAATTTCTTGGTTTAATTGACTGATTAAATCGATGATGATATCATCATCACCACAGCACCATTCATCATCTATGTGAGGGTTGGGTTGGTCGTCCATTTCCTTTTTTTTTTACTTTGACATTCTCATTCCCACACAAATCGATTCTAAGCGACAAAAGAAAAACCCCGTTTTCCTTTTTTTTTTTTGTTTAAATTGAATATTCCATTGCCTTCCTTTCTTCGTTTCTTTTTTTTGGTCATTGCAATGATTCATTTTTCCTTTTTTTCTTTCTTTTTGTTCTGTTTTACAATGATGTTTGCGCAGTTTCTTTTTTTCTTTCTCAAAACTTCAAAAACTTTCGAATAATTTCATTTTTTCTTCTTTTTTACTCTTATTATTTTTTAAAAATTAAATAATAATTCGCATCGAAATTGAAGTTTCCATTTCTGTTTTAAAATAGAGTAAAAATGCACAATAAAAAAAAAACGAAAAGATGTGAGATTTAAGCATATAGAAAAAAAATGAAATCTTTTAAATCAATTTAAGGTTATTCATATATATATTTGTGCATTGTTAATTTTCTAATTAATAAGTACTGTAATGATTAAAGAAATGAATTTTTTGAGTGTATTAGCTAATATTTTTCATGTTTTTTTTAAAAGAATACTGTCTAAAAAAAAAAAAAAGCTATTAATTGTTAATACTAAGAAAAGTAATTGTTAATATTAGCAAAAATTTGCCAGGTAGTGTCGTGGAATTTAGTGGTTGCCAGAAAATTTATTTTGCCGAGCTCAAACTTGGATAATTAAACCAAACAAATCAACATTATAACAACGCGCAACACATAGATATAATTATAAGTGATATAATACAATTATACAACACTAAAATATTATCAAAATACCCCCAAAAACGTAGAATGAATAATGGAAAATTTTACATTTTAAACTTTTACATATATATATATATATATATATATATACATATACATATATATATATATATATATATATATATATATATATATATATATATATATATATATATATATATATATATATATACATATACATATACATACACACACAGACACACGTATATACAAAATATTGAATTTTATTTCAGAATAAAAAATAATTAAAGCTCATACACAGAACACCAATGAATAGTAAATTACATAGGTATCTATATAATGTCCGTTACTTTTATCAAATACATAAGAAATTGAATATCGAAATTTAAAAAAGAAAAAGTCTGGGAACAATGTTATCAATTATACAACATTAATAACTGTGAAAGAAATGAAAGGTAATCAAAAAAAAAGCAAAGCTATCTGTCGTAAAAAACACAGCATTACTCCTAAATGAATCGGGCATTCCAAGAGGAATGTGGAAATTATTAAGGATTGAGAATATCAAAATTTGTAAAAGCGGTGAAGTTCGGCTGGAAGACTTCTCTATCGCCCATCATTAACTTCAAGAGGATCCTGTATCCTGATTTTCAAGAGGATACAGGATCCTCTTGAAGTTAATGATGATGAAAATCATCTTGAACCTAATAACAAGGGAAATATGAAAATTCCGGAAACTAAACAGAACACAGAGAAGCTTAAGGAACCCAATGCAAGGCGAACTAGAAGCAATACAAAACGACAATCTCAATCAAAAGAGGTAAGCAAGAATAACTGACTCACTTTTATCAGTATCCATGCTTTATATTTTTATGACACAAGTGGAAGCAAACAGAGAATGCCAGTGGAAATCGGGAGTGCCATTCAATATTCTGGAAAAATGGAATTGTGAAGAAACCATGACACAAAATTCCACGCTGTTTCAGGTTAGTGTCTACACCCGTAGCCCCACCACGATCCCTGCGATAAAATGTAAAAATATCACCAGAACTATGTGTACTAAAGCATTTTTATGATTTTCATTCTCAGTAATTTCATACTACTTCCGCACCGTCAACAGAAACTTCTGAAATTTTATACAAAGGCAGATAGATGGGAAGAAATTAATCCAAATTTCCCATAATAAATGGACAGCAACCAATCAAGTGCACTACTACGGATGGTTGGGAGTTAGATGCCAAGCAACAACAAATTTGGTATTAACAGAAGGAGAAATATTTCTGTATGATGGACATAGATTTGTGTCGGATTTTGAAATCGCAGAAAATTGCGCTACACAAGACGGGAAATGCATCACCAACACTAGCACCCGTCGAACAAATAACAAGAAAATGTCTTATAGTGAGGTAGGAATCTTTAAAGCTCAAATGTATGAAAATCATGTTATTATAGACGAACTACAAACATCATTCGTCTTCAGTAAGGAAAACAAAACATTTAGAAGTGAAAATTGCAATTTCACCAATCCCAGTCTAATGAATGAATGGTGATATTATCACTGACATTGTGACGAAGATTGCTAATGCTAGAAGCAGGAGAAACATGAACTTGGCACTCGCCTCACCAATAGGTAAACTAATGATCATAGAAACATATCAAGAAGACAACAGTGATCTCGAAAATACGAAATTTCAATACTTATTTGATAGTTTGCAATAAGAGCAACTAGCAACTGCTAAAATAAAATAATTTCAACGGCAACTAAAATAAATGGAACAACAGACTTGTGAAAACCGGAACAATCTGTTATTAGTAATCGAGTGATTGTCATTGGATAATCCTACTCTCGCTGTGAATCTATTGTTGCAGAGAAATGACGTAATAGCTAAAAGAATAGACGAAAAATTATTAATTGCACCGCGTGAGTTCGATTAACTGAATTCGAAAATTGCTGAATTTAAAGGCAGATTAATAAGTAAATTTGAAATCGATAAAGTCAATGCAGTACTGGAAATACTAGCACAGAATCAACGAATGAATTCGAATTTCAACCCATAAAAAACAACGAATTTTTGGGACGAACTCATCTAACACCTTTGATAGATGTCATTGTCCAAATAATTTCGCATTTGTAACTAATCATGTCTAGATCATTTAAGCCATTATGCTAATTCCTTTTTCTCACACAATAAAAAACCCTTTGTTAGCAATCTTTGTTTCACATCATTTAAATATCCTCTGCCGGATATCTGGTCAGTTCAGTTCTGCATATAAACCAACCATCCTCCATTACAGTTATTCATTCTACATTTTGGGGTGGTTTTTGATATCATTTTAATGTCTTATAATTATATTATATCTTTCGTAACGCATTGTTATAATATTGATTTGTCGGTTTAATTACCTAAGTTTGAGGCAAAATAAAATATCTGGCAGTCAATACATTCCACGACACAAGCCAAACTGGAGCAACTTCTTTTGCACTGGAAACTGATTATGATTGGATTGATTCTCTTGATAATATCAATTGTACTTATTGCCTTTAAGTCTAATTTCACATTAATTTATTCTGTATTTAATCTCTTATGCTGTAGATGGAAATTTTACGAGCTCCTCCCAAACACTTGGGAAAGGACATACCAAACAAGCAAACTCCAATTTATTGCCAACCTCACGTACTACCAAATAACAACCTTTTCTGGTTGGGAGTGTCATAAAAAACGGCACAAATTATATTCAAATCCTAATATCCTTCACCAGATGTTTGATCAATCAGTTACCAAATAATTTCGCATCTGCATTTAATTTAAGTCAAGATCGTTAAGCCATTAAGTTTATTACTTTTTATTAAGTTTATTCTCTTTCTCACTACAAAGGACCAACTGTTAATCTCTGTTTTTCATAAATCAAATTTCTCCTCTAGATCCTAACTGTCATTCGAGTTGGTATATAAGTTAACAAACATCCCACCAGAAAAAGTGCGTTGGGCATTCCTTCTTTGGATTCATCCTTTTCAGTCATTCTTTGGTCATCCATTCTTTCTACGTTTGGAGTTAACCTTTGATAATACCATATTGTTTATAATCAGATTGTATCTTTTACTGTGCATCGCTTTGTTGGTTTAACCCAAATTTGAAATCAAATAAAATATCTGGCAGTCGATACATTCCGCGAAAAAGGAATTTTTTGGTGCCTGAAGTGAAGTCCAGTTGTGTCATAACAAATTGCGCTGCTCGTGATCCGATGAGTACGGCCATCAGTTCTAGATGCGGTATTGTCATTCCTTTGATAGGAGCAATGCGGGATTTAGCGAAGATAAGCGATGATTTTTTCCTTGCAATTCCTGACTCACTAGGTACACTGCTGATGAGTATGCTACGCTTAAAGCATCGGTGAACACATTCATTCCAATTAAACTTGTAAAGGTTGTGACAAGTCGCGGTAAGTCTTTTACAACCGTTGACCATTCTGTGATAAGAGAATTCCATTGTCTATGTTCTTGCTCATCTAATATTTGATCCCAAGAGTTATTCTTTTTCTACAGGTGTTGTAAGAATAATTTAGATCTTACCATTATTGGAGCTAGAAATCCTAGTGTGTCGTATTGTAATGCAACGAACTGTAAAATCGTTCTTTTCGTTAGTTCTTGTTCAGACCATGGTCTTAACGTTACCTGGATGACGTCTTGGTAGGGATTCCATGGAATGCCAAGGATTTTCATGTTTTTTCTGATTGCTCGATCTTGTTGAGGCAGGTTTGCACAGAAATTTTCATCGTTAGATAAAAATTCCCCTCGA